AATAGGGAAAGAACAGGAACAAGAATGAATATATTTTGCGGTCCCTGTATCTTCTGTCACAATGTTTCTTTCCAACCACATTTCTGAGCCTCTGCAGGACATCAGGTCTCAGGCACTGTGCTGACTCAGATGGAAACAGGTACATTTCATACTGCCTCCCAATCCTCCCTTCTCACCAGAATGCCAATGGAATGTTCCAGAACTCTTGATTAGAGATATGGTAAAATTCAAGGTGAAGGATGCCTGAAAAACCAGATGTGAGTGGTTTAAACCCAGTGAAAAGGTGACTGAGCACATGGTCCGAAAAGCCCCTTTGGGTGAGATGAGGGTCATGAGGTAGGTGCTCCTGACTTCCTGAGTACCTTCCACATTTTACAGATGAGAAAATACAAGGCAACAAAACATTAACTTGCATAAGGATGCACAGCTACAGGGAGGGGTAGATTCACATTCTAGATCATTTGCAGTGCTGTGTGCCATGATTTTCCTCATTGATCAGTACTACAATCACTTCCATTGGCTTTGTTTCCCTTTTGAATATCCAGAAAGTCTGTCAGGTATGTCCTGGTGATCCCTCTCCTGACAGCTGGGCACAGCTATGGGTACTGTCCAGTTCAGGGGCCGTCACTCCCATTGTCTATACCAGGGAACAGTTGTTTCCACAGGGCTCCCCTCTCTCAGGGCTGTACTCCGGAAAAGCAGCCACAGAAGAGGCGCCTCCAGCTTCTTTGGCTTTCTCATTGGGTAAAGCCCCCAAATTCCCATGAGCTTGCTTCTACTGCTGCTGTCAGTTGCCCATCTGCTCCTCCTTCCTAAGCCAAATGCAGAATATGAGGCCCAGGCTTGTTGGTTTCAGAGCACATCCTCTCAGCTTGGGTCCTGGCTGTCCTAGAATTTACATGGATGTGACATTCCCTTGGGAGCTTGGATTTTCCATGTGGAAACAAAATGTTGAGAGGAGGAGGACTTAACCAAAGGGAATGCCAGGCCACTGTGTATCTCAGCAAGCCTTAACAGGAGGGACATTTGCATAGTGAGTGCCAGAGGGTTACCCTGGGACCTAGAGAGTCCCTGTGTCTGAATCCTAACTTCAACACTTACTGGTTTCTTGCTTTGACCTTTATCAGCCCATTTCTGAATCTGTTGGTGGGGGGGGTTGATACTCAATTTTCAGACTCATTGGCAAATGAAGATTAGGTATATAAAATACAACTGACCATCCATAATTAAACACTGGCCTAGAGTGATGACAAATTAGTGTCTTCTTTTCTGTATCACTGCATTGCATTGTACCTTACAGGGGAAACTGAAGCTTCAAATTGTTAGGCTCCATGACAAGGTGACAAAGGTATTCATTGCTGGAAATGGAAGGACACTTTTCACTTGTTGTACACAAGAACACCATGAAGGACATTTTATTTCACCAAACTCAGTGATCCTGAGCAAACACCTTACCTAAGGGGCAACACTGAACATCATCAAAGAAGGCCACAGCAAACCACAGCTCTGACAGAATAATCCATTTGACAAGACACGGTGATACTGTGACAGTGCACTCTATGGAAACATGATACCTTGCTTTCATAAGCTCCACTCCAAGCCTCAGTGTTCCCTTTTATAAAATGGACATAGTATCTGCCTCCCTCCCTAAGAGTTAATGGGATGACAGTTAAATAACATCACTGGCTTACCGGGGAGCTTGCCACACAGATGCAATCAGCAAAGATTAAATGGCTTAACCTCATTCCTTTCCTTCTGACTCCAGCAAGGTTAAATGACATCCTTTGTAAGCAGAGGTTCCATTTCTAAGAAAATTCATTTCTCTGCTTTTGGTTGAACTTTGATCTAATTTAATGGTTAATATTTGTATCAGCTATTTTTAATGCATGATAAAGCACCCCAAAATATAGTAATTTAAAACAACAATTGCAACAATTGCCGAGGATTCTGCAGGTTGACAATTTCAGCTGGGCTCATGTGATTCTTTTGCTTTCTCAATAAAGCCTACACATGCATCTGGGACCTGTCAGCTAAGGGGCTCTGCTGCGGCTGAATGGTCCAGGATGGTCTCAGACATATGTTGGGCAATTGGTTCAGTGTCACCTGGGGCAAATGGGATGAATGAGCCATAGGGCTCTCATCATGCAGCTACCCTAGATTGCTGTCATGGGGTTTTAAGAGCCAAAAGAGAGAGAAACCCTAGCGTACAAGCACTTTTCAACTCTATGTTTACTTCATATTTGTTGTTATGCTGGTGGACAGAGACAGTTCCAAGGTCAAGCCCACCAACCAAGGAGAGAGGAGACACTGCCCAGCAGGAATGCACTGCACTCATTGCCCTAAATGTCTAGTGCCACAGTGATGCAGAATTACACAGTTTAGAAAAACAATTAAATATGAATAAACCAGACTCTGCAATGCTGAACTTGTAAAAATGATTTTTACTCTTAAAAGTTATTTAGTTTTTTAAATCATGGTCATTCTCACCACATTCCTCTCGGGTGAATGACAAAATTATTTTGTGAAATTCTGAAAAAAAAAACCTAACCTGGAAATTTCCTTGTTGTATCAAACGAGTAAGTTGTGGAACTCCCTATCCAGAAACATGCTATGACTTTGCCACCAGGAGTCCAGCCTGCATCTCTTTCCACATTCAAATGTTCCTGTTCCTCTCACGGGCCATGGATTTGTCCCCAGCAGAGGCATGTTGCATAAGCAGAGTCTTCTGTGGAAGGGATGGAACAAACTAGAAAATGGCACCTCCGGTGACAAAGGGAGATGGGACCTGCAATGTGAAGCAGACTTGGGTCATGGCTGGGGCCTGGGTGGACCATACCAGCTCAGACACCAGCCCAATCTGCCAGCTTTGCTGAAGAGCCAGTTGCTTTTCTCAAATCATCTTTCAGAGCCCTGAGCAGAAGTGCTATCATGCACTACGAACTCCTCACCATACTTTTTAGGATCTCTTGGGATTTTACACATTTTGTGGTGGTTGACACTGCCAGTTTGATAGTCATCATTTCTCCTGATGGCATGCATGAAAGCTCCAGATCTTCAAAAGATCAGTGTTTCATTCTTCTATTAAACAACTTCTTTGTAAATTTTTTCCCCTGAGGTGTGTCCTAAGAAAATGTTCTTTTTGTCAGGAAATCATGATAACATTGATTTCACCAGTTTGGACTTTATTGTTTATAATCTCATCATACCAGAAAGAACTTACAAAAATATTTAGTATTGTGGACAATAATAGGCATATTTATGTTCATCACGATTGTAATGGAATTTTTCTAGGTGTTTAACATCATGTGTGTAGTTGCGAGTTAGGGTAGCACGGAGGGATTTTATTTTCCAGCTTGTTTTCAATGAACAGGTTTGGTTTCCCTGAAAAACTTTTTGATCATCCATCCATCTTGAACATATCATCAGTAGAAACAGTATTTTTATTGAAGTCACTGTTTTCATTTGATCAGGTTCTTCATGTATGACCCAGTCCTTTTTGTCACTTCATGCCCTAGATAGTTCAGGCTTTTGTGGTCCCTGGGAAAAGACCATCATCTTCATTAGCAATTCTGGGTACACACGGAATCAAGCAGATGCCTGGAAACTAAATGTTTCATGACTGGTTTCCATTTACTTTTCAGTGTCCATCTTCCCGAGAGGGAAGGGATGATTTCAACAAAAAGGTCGGTTTCTATGACCTCCCCGGGACACTTGGCTGATGTCAGCAGCCTGTAAGAGAGAGACAAAGGTCCTTAGTATGCAATACGACAAAGTTAGGGACATCAGACTGCTTCTCTATGAGGCTATTACTCGAAGGAGGGACCAGAGAAACACTGAGAAGAAATACATGGAGAAGGAAGGCTGAAGGCTGCTAACTCTGGCACCTCTGGTGAGGTGCCATTTCTCTTCCAAGTGGACAGGATGAGCAAACAGAGGTGAGAGAGCGCCCAGTGGCTTTGCTGGAGTCACATACCAGACTTTTTCAAGTCAAATTGTAAAACCTGAAGACTGCCATGGAGCGCCACGCACAAGTTTCCCCCAAAGGCTGGCAATGCTTATGAATAAGAAAGACACAGAAGGGTGGGGGTGTGGATTCTTGGGATTTGATACAAGACCACCGGGGGGTGGTTCCCTAGTAGTGAGGTGTCTATGACTGAAAGTTGAAAGGTTTGGAACTAGGAGGCGAGAAATGGCCTCGGGAGGAAACTGAGGATCAGAGAGGTTACAGACGACTTAAATAGGGGTTTAAGAAACGCGTTAAGGGAAGGCTTGTGCCAAGCAAGACGCCTGGCAAGGTGGAGAACCTGTTGAAGAAAGAAAACCGCATGATGTGACTCAGCAAGATGATCTTGCCAAGAATCCCGCTGGTCATCTTGCGGCCAGGGGGCTCTTCCCATCAACAGCCAGTGCCTTTCGTCTCGGGAGATGAGGCTGAGGACCCAGCGGCCCCGGGGTGTGTAAAGACCCGCGTGTGCTTGGCGCAACGTGGGGGCGGGTGGGTGAGGAGCACCGTCCGGCGGCACCACAGCCACAGCCACGCTGGGCCGAAAGACACACGTGGAACGGTCTCCCGGGCAGGTGCCAATGCGGCGAATCTCGCTGTGTGGGCAGGAGGTTCCCGGCCCCAGAGGTGCGGGGCGCCTGCGCAGTGGGCCTTCGGCGTCGCGCGCTCCGGGAGCCAGGAGACCCCCGCCCCCGCCCCTCGCCCTCCGCCGTGAACGCGCACGCGGACCGGCCCGCGAGCGCGCACGCGAATGCGCCTCACCTCGCTCAACCCCTGCCGGGGGGCGGCTGAGCGACAGAGGGCGGGAGCGGCGCACTGGCGGTGGCGACGCGGTGGGCTGCGTGCGGAGTCGTGGGCTGCCGGGTCCGGGGAGGCGGCGGAAGCGGCGCCTCCAATCAGGCGGCGGGTGGGGACCCCTCCGCGCGCCCGGCCGGCGGCTGCCCGCCCCGCGGACTGACTGACGCGCCGGCTCGCCCCCGCCCCCGCGCCCGCCCCCGCGCCCGCCTAGTCTTCCCTCGGCCGCACTCGCTGCTCCCGCGACTCTCTCTGGAGCCCGATCGCTCTCGCTAGCTCTCGCTCTCGCCCTCGCCCGGCCCTTTCTCTGCAGACCGGCTGCTCTGCTGCTCGGCGGCGGCTCCGGCCACTCTGGCGGCGGCCTCCAGGATGAAGTGCAAGCCGAACCAGACGCGGACCTACGACCCAGAGGGCTTCAAGAAGCGGGCTGCATGCCTGTGCTTCCGCAGCGAGCGCGAGGACGAGGTGCTGCTGGTGAGCAGCAGCCGGTACCCGGACCGCTGGATCGTGCCCGGCGGGGGCATGGAGCCCGAGGAGGAGCCCGGCGGCGCGGCGGTGCGAGAGGTGTACGAAGAGGCGGGAGTCAAGGGGAAGTTGGGCCGGCTCCTGGGCGTTTTCGAACAGAACCAAGATCGCAAGCACAGGACCTACGTGTATGTACTGACTGTCACCGAGCTGCTGGAAGATTGGGAAGATTCCATTAGCATCGGGCGCAAGCGAGAGTGGTTCAAGATCGAAGATGCCATCAAGGTCCTGCAGTGCCACAAGCCCGTGCACGCCGAGTACCTGGAGAAACTGAAGCTGGGCGGCTCCCCGACCAATGGAAACTCCGTGGCCGCGTCCGCGTCGCAGAGCGATCCCTAGTATGTACCGCTGGCGCCCGGACTTCGGTGGTCGCCTGGCTTCAGAAGAGCCCTGCCGGAGGGAGCACCTCTCCTGCCATGTGCGGTCGCACGGGCAGGAGAGAGGCTTCTTTTGTTTCCCTGGCAGACCTCTGAATCACGCTTGCAAATTGTCTCAGTCGCCAGGCACTGTTTTCAGACAATTTGCACGTTTTTCAGACGCTTTCAAAATCGCTTCTTGGCGACACTGTAAAATGTTTCGGTAAGCCAAAGCTGCAAGGGGTTTCGTTTAAAGGTGCCTTAAGTGCTGGCCCTGCTCTGCTCTTGGGGGTGGAGGGTGGGTGTGTGCGCGCGCCTTGTGATGTTTTGGTTTGGGCTTTTTTTTTTTTTTTTTTTTTTGTACTTCACATGTTCGTGCGTGAGTGTGCGTGCGCATTTTGGATAGCAGGCGTGTGGTTTGTTTCGGAGTGGAGGCCTTTTAAGTGCGCCCTGCTTGATCGTGTGGGCATCTTCTATTATTTTTCCCCCGAAGTTTCCTTTTCCTTCACAGCCTTCCTTCATCCTTGCCAGCAAGCTCTTCTGTGGTGGGAGTTGGTTGGGATCGTTTTAAATTAGAAAAATGGGAAAATTTAAAGCTTGTGCTCTTCCTGCAGTCAAACAGAAAATTTCGGCTTCAGAAATGGGATCTGATGTGCCTCTTTCAGAAATGCCTGTGTCTATTCATAAGTAGATCGTTTGATTTTTTTTTTAAATTCCCACCTTAGGTGGTTTTTCACTGCTGACTAGAAATTTTCATTTCCCATTGAGTTTATGAGGTATTGCCCTATAAAGTAGATATTTCTGGGGAATTGCTAGCAAAACGCATGTGATGGCCACCCCTTATAATGAAAACTGTATTCATAGAGTATGATTTAGCCTGCTGGACTTCCAATGCCCAGTGCCTATTTCTGGACACTCTGGAAGAACCGTCATTCTCTCAGTATGCATTCGTTTTTGAAAGTAAGTCATGGCCCATGTTTGAATTTAGTGATAACCTGGTTAAACTTCCCTGACTGGCAGTAACCACAGGAATGGAATCTTTTATGGTGATTGCATCCCAAGTGAGTGAGTTAAGTCTATTTGCTATTCACTGTTACAAATTTTGCAACCTGTTAGGACACCTGAACATTTTCTCTTCTTGGCAGAGGATAAGTGTTTTGTTTAACAGGCAAACTTTTTGGGGTGCTGAACCAGAAGCTATTAGTTTTTTTCCTTGGTACTTGTTTGAAATCAGGAATCCCATCTATAATACATTAGTCTCTCTTCTGGAACTTCCTGTGTTTCCCTAGCCTTGTCTGACATTAGGTAGAAGGAAAGCCTACTTTGTGAAGAGAGTATTGAGTGTGAAAAGAACATTCCATATCTAACACTTAAGCAATTTAACAACATTCTATGAATGAATGATGACTACAAATGGAAAGTAATGATTATGTAAAACAATTTGGTACAGCTCAAAATAACTTTTTTTTTTCTGCTATGCTGGGGATTGAACCCAGAGCCTCAGAAATGCTAGGCAAGCACTCTTCCACTGAACCACATCCTGCCTGAAGTAACCTTTTTTTAAACATAATTACTGCTAAAAATTTAATAGAGGTACCCTTATAAATTTAGTGAATTTTTTGATGTACATCATACATAAGAACAATTCACAAGTCTTAACTATACAGCTTAATGAATTGTTACTTAGTGAACACATGCAGAAACTACCATTCAGATCAAGAAATTAACATTGCCCATGACCCAAAGACTATTGCATTTCTCTTAATCATTACTCTGCTCTCCCATCTTAATATCAAAGAATAGATCAGGTTTTGAACCATATGTGTACTCCTTTCTGCTGCCTCTTGTGTACTTTCTGCATTTTACCCTTCCAAGCATTCAATATTTTTCTCCATTTGGTTTGCATTGTAATTTTACAAATTAATATTCTTATATGCTGATAGAAAGTGGGTGTCATTGCATTTATAAAGAAATGTGTTTCCCCTTTTTCTAAAAATTTTATTTCACATTTAAATAAAGTACATTATTCAATTCAGAAAACATTTTCTGCAGTAATGCTATCAAAGGAAAGGGTAACTTAAAAAATGGTGACTTTTAAAAAACAACAGTTTTATTAACTGAATTATATAGTCCAATAAAATATCAATATTTTTTCTGCTTTTTTCTAACAAAGTGATATATATTGAATATATATTTGAATCATATTTTTTTACAAGTCATAGGAAAAAAGACAAATCTATGGACACTGCAGATTATTGGTTGTCTGGGACTGAAGGTAGGAGCTGAGTGCATAGAATAAAGGGAATAATTCCAAACAAATTGACTTTTATTATTCAAACAATCTCAAGACAGATCCTGTGCACCCCCTCCCCATGACCTAGTTACTCAAGATTAAGTTCTATATTACCATCCACAGTATACTTACTAGATTCTACTTATAGATTTTTGGGTAAATAGAACCCCTTCCACCTGTAACACTGACACAGGAACTTGGAGGTTTAACATATACTTGCTATTATTAGAGGAAACAATGCATCATATTATATAGTTTCTTCTTTACAGGTCTGATAAAGGCAAGAATGTACAGCATTGATAACCTGTTCTTAAGAATTGTTAGCCTATAAATATGTTGTGCCCCTCCTTTCTTCCTTCCTTCCTTTGTATGTACTTACTTTATTTAACCAGAAATGTCTAGAATAATATTTTTAAGGATTGATTGTCAGCATCACTTAAGTGTTTTTAAATAAGATATTCTGTGGAACACAGTCTTGTCTGAATAATTAAAAGCTCAAATAAGTGGCATTTGTTTTAAAGACTTAAATCAGTAGATTTAGGCTACAACAGGTGACCAGAGTTAATACATAGACATTTCTACCAATTCAGTGCTCCAAAAGATGATGTACTGTTGGAATTTTTTTCCTTCTAAGAGTGTTACAAGTCACTTAAATATTATTTTTATGATTTCACTAAACATAGGCAGCTAGATTTTTATAGCCTTCCCCCTGCCCTCATTAAGAAAGAAAAAGAATAGTCTCTGCAGATAATTGCAGTTTGCAGCTATAGATCAGAAACTTATTTTCTACATGGTTAGATAGCTTACATTATCCATTTTCAGCTGGTCAACACCCTCCAACTGAGGTGCAAGGGATTGAACTCAGGGCCTCATGCATGCTAAACATGCACTGTATCATTGAGCTACATTCCCAGCCCCCTAGTCAAGTGCTTTTTTTTTTATAAATATATAAAGAGAAAACTGTAATATAGATATGTAGATTTCCTAGAAACATAATATTGTATAAATTTTTTTCAAGAAATTTTGTGTATGACTGTAGATACAAAATCTGTTGGGCTATGGTTGTAGCTCAGTAGTAGAGTGCTTACTTAGCATGTGTTAGTCACTGGGTTCAAACCTCAGCACCACATAAAAATAAATTTTAAAAAAGGTTAAAAAAAAACTAAAAAAAAAATCTGTTGACCACACTTTTAAGAAGCAAACTAAAGGGAGAAAATTGTTATGAAACAATTCAGTTGCTCTTTTACTTTGCATAGATTCGAGATAATGGATACAAAGATTTTAATTAATTTGCATGATTTTCATTGAAAAGATTCATATACAAATGCCAATTTGTTCATAAAATATAATAAATAGCTACATATTTTTGTTAACCTGACCAGAGCTTTCGCCTCTAGGTTTCCCTTATTGTGGGGGAGCTGCCAGGTACTACCAAAAAAAATTTCATCAATATTTTCCTGGTAGTTGTCTCATAATAAACAACTATACTGCATTTAGAAGATTTTAGATATTTTTGGTTCAAAACCACTATGAGAAACAGAAGTCACTATGTTGACTGTACTTAAATGTGATTTTTTTGTGATAGAGAGCTTGATGTGATAGAAACTACATCAGGACTTGGAAGTCAGACAGACATAGTACCAGTTCTTAGTCACTCTAACTTCAGCCACGTTATCTAATTATCTGATGCTCAAGTTATTTTTGAAATCTGTCATTAGAGAGAATAAAAAGAGGTACTTCATGTATATCTCTGGTGAGAATTCTTTTCTGACCATGTGAAAAAAGCCCCTCCTGTGTGATGGTTCTCATAGTTTATTGGGCTTAATCTATTTGCAAAGCTAGGCGTCCACAGGTCCACAAATCCTTTGGTGGTTGGGAATAGTCTGATTTGTTTCCATAAACCTAGAGTCCACAACATTGAACTTAGGATTTGTCTGTGCTTGTGGTACTGGGGAATGAACTCAGTGCCTCACACATTCTAGTTTAGTAGTCTACCTCTGAGCTATATCCAAAGCCTGAATTTAGGATTTGTAGGGTTTTTTCTTTTCTTTTATTTGTATTGGGGATTGAACTCCTGGGTGTTTTACCAGTAAGCTACATCCACATCCCTTTTTAAGACAAGATCTCTTTTAAGTCACCCAGCTTGGCCTCAAACTCATGATCTTCCTGCCTCAGTCTCCCAAGTTGCTGGGACTATAGGTGTGTGCCACTGTGCCTGGCTTTTTAAAAATATCTTACATACTCATTCCCCTTTTGCAAAATTTCTGGTATCAGGTTTCCTGAATTTTTTGTGTCATATTGGCCTGTGAATTCCTCAGCTGTTTATCCAGACTCACATTGCATCTGCATTAGATAATTCTGTGAAAGCTTTCCAAATGCCAAGTGATTGACACACATAATATGCCCTCGCTAAATTTGTCAGTTGGGAGAATTGTTAATATAAGCTTGCTAATTGTATGTTGGTTTCTTTTTCCAGATGAACAGTAAAGATGTTCAGGATTGCTCTGAAAGAATCATTGATGTGATCCTAGTGCTCACTGAAATTGTCAAGTGCAGGTGAGCACTTGAAATGTTCCCAAGGAGACAGCTCATCTGGTTTTTCTCCTGCGTCTCGGGACAGACACTCCTTCTGTCTGTTCTACTGACTCTTCTTGCTCTGGTTGTTGTACTATCGTATGTGAAGAGACTCTTAATTCAGCACCTATAGCCTTTTGTTGTGCTTTTTTGATGTGTCTGCCTTCTTCATTAGACTATATCTTTGAGAGCGAAGACTATTTTTCCTTACTCTTTTGCATATCCTGCATCTGAGACACTACTTGAAATATGGTTGGCTTCACTGAAGGTCTTTGATTCAGTTAATATTTTGTAATCCCTGTGTGGCAAAACATTCCCCTTCCAATCTGGTGCTAGTAGAGTACATTCGTTCTAGGCACCATGGTGTAGCTTTTGTGTATCAGGTGTTTCAGAAACATTTCCAGGCAGTTGTGAGATGTTCAAGGCCAAGAATTGTTAATCATATTTCTATATCATACCACACAGTGGCTGGCACAGTTTTACAATTATTCCATCGCTTAGAGAAACATTTTGTAGAATCAGTCCTTCATGTAACAACTTCAGTGTTTTTGTACTGTTATTAATTTGCTTAACATTTTATTCAGAAAATCACTTGCTGTAAAGGTAATTGTAAAAATAAATACAATGCACACAAGATAATATTGTGAGTTTTATAAAAATAGATCTTAAAGTAATATACAGATAATACATTTAATTTTTTGCAATGCCCTAACCACTTCTTACATGTCATCTTAACATCTCTTTGAGGAAAAGCTTTTTTTTTTCATCTTACAGATTCAATATACTCTATTATTTAATGCCAGGGCCAAGAAAGACCACAGCATAGCCAGTTTCCAAAGTTAATTATGCCATGAAGTTTGCCTACATTTCTTTTGCCTCTCACTGTTTCAGTTGGTCATAGTTTTCATTCCTTTCCCAGTACACTCAGCTAACTCCTCATCCCACCTAGTTTCTACATCTGCAGTGTTGAGAGACCACACTGTTGTCACTTAGAAAAGGCGTTTGGGAAAGAGACGTCTGTAATAAGGGAACACAGTATGAAGGATTTTAAAGGGAAGACTTGGGTCAGCCACTTCCAGAACAACATTAGGACAGAGACAGTTTAGAGGAGAAATATCATTGTGTTTTGCTATGGAGTGTGTGACATCAGCACTCTTCCCCAGCTCCTTACAAGAGTCCCAATATGGCTGTAATGTGATGGTTTGCTTTATTATTCTTTTGCATTATAAAACAATTACATTGGGAAAAGCGTGGACTCTTTAATAGTGTTAACATCCTTCCTCATGGTACCAGTGAAATGTGTTGATTGTGTCCCCAGATTTTACAGAATTTGAAATAAAAACACATATTTCTGATATATTGGTTATTTTAGCTGTGATATGGTACTGTGGTTATTTTTTTTAAAATGCTTATCTTTTAGACAAATGTACTAAAATTTCTAGATGATATGCTACTGGTATTTGCTTCAATATAATTTGAGGGTGGGGTAGGCAAGTGCATAGATGAAACAAGATTGGCTCTGACTTGATAATCGTTAAAGCTGTATGATGGATGCTTGAGAATTCGCTATCCTATTCTCTATACTTTTGTATATGTTTGAAATTTTCCATAATAAAAATTGAAGAAAAAAAACATTCCTCAGAGTTTCTCTTTCTAGAATTTAATTATGGAAGGCTGGTGAGGAAACTAAACCCACAGCCCAAGAGAACGCATTTCTCTTCTCCACAAACCTACCTTTTGTTCGTGAGCCAAACCTGTTGGAAGACTGCTCTTCCCTTACTGTGAATTTTTCTTTGGAGGTTCCCTCCCTGCACCCCACCCCCCATGACAAATGCAAAATATTTTAGCACCACCACTATGCCATACATGACCAGCAATCTTTCAACTCTAGTAGGGGACATAAGTTGAGGTTTACCAATGGAACAACACTCCTTATCCTACAATTTATTATTTTTTTAATATTTATTTTTTACTTGTAGTTGATTGGACACAATACCTTTATTTTATTTATTTTTATGTGGTACTGAGGATCGACCCCAAGGCCTCGCATGTGCTAAGCAAGTGCTCTACCACTGAGCCACAACCCCAGCCCCCTACAATTTATTTTTAAAAAGACACTGAATGCTGGGGCTGGGGCTGGGGTTGTGGCTCAGAGGTAGAGTGCTTGCCTAGCATTCATGAGGCACTGGGTTCGATCCCAGCACCACATAAAAATAAAATAAATATATTGTGTCTACCTATAACTAAAAATAAATATATTTTTAAAAGACACTGAATGTTTTTCTCTGATTACAAAATTAATTCATCTCCAGAAAATTTGTGCAATACAAAAACTAAATAAATTTTCACATACATATGATGTGTATACACATATCTTTTAGTCTGTTTGATTTGCAAACATAAAAAATATGTAACTTAAACAAGGAGAATATTTCAAAAAATCCATGATTTTTTTTTTTTTATTGTTAAACACTCACCACACAGGCACCTTTGCTATTCCTTATCATTTTTAGGCTAACACTCAGGCTCATTGTGGAATTTGTGCTATTTCTGCCCTGTCTGCACAAATGCAGAAAGCATAACAGAAAACTTGGTTCTGAAATATAGACCTTGTTCTATTCACCAAGTCCTCATGCAAGGTGAAAGAAACATGTTTTCTTTTGCTTTTGTTTCCTAATTCCCACACATACTTTCTACTCATTAAGCAGTAGGCTGGGGTAGGGCATCAGTTCAGACTCTTTGCAAGTAACACAGTTTAAACATAATTGGCTAAAAGTAGACCTGCTATTACCTATTTACAGAATGTTCCAATTTGACTAGATCCTCAGTAAGCTACCATATCCCTGCCCTGCTGTAGCCTCTGACCCCTCTGAGCAGTGTTTTCCAATGAGTAAACAAGGACACTACCATTCTACATTCAGGGAAAGGAATCCTGCTCTCCCCTTATACCCCCCCCCCCTTTTTTTTTTCTTAATGCAATGCTGAGGTTCAAACCTAGGACCTCATGAATTCCTTCTACATTTTTAAATAATGATATAAGATTTTAATAAGGGATTATTTACACACTGATTACTTTAGAACCCATCTACATTTTTATCCCCAAAGGTGCTCTCACCCTTCCCTAATTTCCTATAGTATATGAGCGACCAGGCCATAACTTTTAATGAGATTTTACTAAAGATAACCAGATTATGTGAGGGAAATGTAACAAAATGGACACAGTTTACAACTACTGCACAGAATATACTAGAAGGATCAGATCCTTTTTAGGTTCCTTTACTGGATTTTTTTTCCCTAATAAAGGTTGACTTCAAATGGCTTAGGAAAGTCCCTCCACCTCAAAACACTGCTCACTATGAAAACTAGTTTTTGGTTTCAACTCAAATCGTGAATGGAAAGCAGCTCCCTAAACCTAATCTCCATATAGTACTTGAAATATCTCAAATTTATATTCTCAGAATCCAAGATAGAAACATGAAGTCAATGAAATGAATTAAAGGGCTAAAATGGTGGGGGAAAGAAATCACTTTTCCTCCAACTTGCATGCTTTTTAGATGAAGATTAAAAATAACAGGATTGACAATACCTTACAGTAAACTCAGTGCTACTCCTCTTTGTGGGATGGTAAACAACATGGGGAATCAAAAAACCCATCAGGGTCCAAGATGACTGATTATAGCCTGTGTTCTATGTAATTGTACACAGCAATGTGAAGAAGTTTAATAGTACCTCTGGGAGTTTAGGCTTCTTTGGGGCCAGTGCTGAGAGGACAGAGGCATCAGGGTAGGGTTGGTAACAATTTTCTCTTTTCTTATTGTCTACTCAAACTTAAGCCTCATCTCTTGGGTGTTACAAAGACAAGATAGAAAATTGCAAAATCATTCTTAACAGGTGGTTCCAGCAATGCACCTTGCCTCCTACTGGACATTTGAGAATAAGCTCCTGACATTTAAATAGAATATGTAATTAAAAATCAATAACATAAAGAAATGTGGGAAACTCACGAATTATCTATCTATATAAATTAATAACATTCCTAAATAATCTATGGGCAAATAAGAATTCACAGTAGAAATCAGAAAATACTTCAAGTTGGATACAATAAAAAATAAAACTTGAGGTGTAGCTTATTCAGTACTTACTGGGAATTGATAATTATAAATTGCAACAAAAGAAGAAAAAACCCACAAAGCAAGCAGAAGGAAGGTAATGTTAAAGATTGGAATGAAAAATTAATGAAACATAATAGAAAAACAGAGAGAAGGAGGTGGGGATGTAGCTCAGTGGTAGAGCCCTTGCCAACCATGTGCAATGTCCTGTGTTTAACTCAAGCACCCTCTAAATAGATAGATAGATAGATAGATAGATAGATGAAGGAAGGAAGGAAGGATGGAAGGAAGGAAAGAAGGAAGGAAAGAAGGAAGGAAGGAAGAGTTGGGGTATAGCTCAGTGGTAGAGCACTTGTTAGCATGCTCAAGGAAGTGGGTTCAATTCACAGCAACACACACACACACACAATCAACCACCTGGATTGTAAAGAACATTTATAATTCAATAAGATAAAGGCAAATAGTAGCATTAAAACGGGCAAAGGATTTGGATAGAATTTTCTCCAAAGGGATACAAGTGGACAACTATAGTAAAACATGCTCACTAAGTGAACAGATGTTGAACTAATAATAAATGATTATTAGTTACTGGGGAAATACAAATTAAAACCATCACGAGAAACCATTTCTCTATGGTCATTAGAATGACCATAATCAAAGATGAAAAATAATTAGCATTAGTGAGGATGTGGAGAATTTGAAGACCTCATACATTACTGAGGGGGCAAGAAAATATCACAAATCACTTTGGAAAATAGTTCGGCAATTCTTTAAAATGTTAAACAGACCTTACTATATGATCCATCAATTCCAATGCTAAATATTATCCAAAAGAAATGAAGACATATTACAAAGACTTGTATATGAATATTCATGGCAGAATTATTCACTATAGCCCCAAATGGAAACATATAATGTCTCTCTCTCTCTCTCTCTCTCTCTCTCTCTCTCTCTCTCTATATATATATATATATATATATACACACACACACACACACACATGCATACCTATGTTAAAGTTTATAAATTAAGCAGTCTGAGAGATTAACAAAAGTAATTAATAATAATAAAATAGACTACTTATACCAGTAACAGTACACTAAAATAAAAATTATTTAAAACATATATTATTTATTTTTTGAATTTTTTTCAATATTATTGGAACTTAGTTGACCATGGGCAACTGAAACTGCAGAAATGAAAAGTGTAGATGAGGCAGCTACCACTGGATAACCAATGTACTATACCCATACAATAGGATATTTTAAGCAATAAAATGGAATTAAGTACTTATAAGGCTTTAAAATGGGTGAGCTTTGAAAACATTCTAAGTGAACAAAGTCAGATATATCACATATAATTCCACTGATATGTAATGTCTAATATGGGAAAATCTATTGAGTCAGAAAGTAGATTAATGTTTGCCTATAGGTAGGGGGAAGAAAAATGGGGATTGACTTCTAATTGGTACACGTTTTCTTTTTTTTTAACTGAAGGATGATCAACATGTTCTAAAATTAGATGATCATGATGGATGCATAATTCTGAGAAGGATGAATACAAGGGCAGGGTAGTGAGGCAGATGGTGGTGAGCTGGGGAATGAGTGGAAGATGAGGATCTGGATTCAATGAGTCTAAATAATCCTTCAAATACTTTGTAAAGGAGAGGAGAGAAACAGGATAGTAACTCAAGGGTGACATCAGATTGCAGGAGAGTTTTAATATTTTCAAGGTGTCACAGATTTGTGAACCTTTGTTCTTGATGGGGAGGAGAGAGTACAAGGGAAAGCCTGAAGACACAAGAAGATGTGGTAATCAATGGAACAATAGTATATGTTATGGTTTGGATGTGAAGTGTCCCCCAAAAGCTCATGTGTGAGACAATACAACAAGGTTTAGATGATGAATGATTGGGCTATGAAAGCCTTAACCAAATCTTCAAATTAATCCCCTGATGGGATTAACTGAGTGGTACCTGAAGGCAGGTAGGGTATGGCTGGAGCAGGTGGGTCCCTGGGGGCATACATTTTGCGTATATATTTTGTCTCTGGCAAGTGGAGTCTCTGTCTTTGCTTTCTGTTCATCATGTGAGCTGCATCCCTGCACCACACTCTTTCACCATGATGTTCAGCCTCACCTCCAGACCTGAGGATTGGAGCCAGCTGTCTAAGGACTGAGACCTCTGAAACCATGAGACTTAAATAAGCTTTTCCTCCTCTACAATTGTGTTGGTCAGGCCTTTAAGTCACAGTAGCAA